ATGATGCCAGGCCGGGACAATGGGCAGGTGGCAGCAGGGAGACGGAAGTGTGGCTGAAGGGAAGGTGCAGCAATGAAACAGGTTTTTCTATCATTTGGTTGCCTCGCTTCTGTCAGTGTGCCCCAGGGCAGCTGTGGCTACAGTGGTTTATCACCACCGTGTTTGGTGAGAAAGAGACTTTAGAATCCAGAAAGAACTGTATAAAACTGATGCATTATTATTATTAATATTATTATTATAGGGCGACAGTAGGTCCATGTTCTTCCCTTTAATCCATTTCTGGGTCAGGGGTCAGGGGTCATAGCACCAGCCCCTCACTGACCCTCTGCAGGTGGTGAGTCCACAGGAGGACGGCTGCTCTCTGACTGTGAGCATAGCCTTGATCTTTCAGTGGGGGCTTTGGGCAAAGTGGGGTTAAGTGTCTTGCCCAAGGACACAACGACAGCAGTCATCAGTGGGAGTTGATGGAGAAGGTGCAGAGGTGGGAATTGAACCCACGACCTTCTGGCCTTAAGGCCAATGCTCTACCAACTGAGCTACTGTCGCCCCCAGTTATTATTGTTATTATAATTATTATTAATATTTTTTTTTTTTTTATTATTGTCATTATAATTATAATTATAATAATTATAATCCCACCTGATGAAGACCATGGAGCACTGACCTCCCACCTGATGAAGACCATGGAGCACTGACCTCCCACCTGATGAAGACCATGGAGCACTGACCTCCACCTGATGAAGACCATGGAGCACTGACCTCCTCCTGATGAAGACCATGGAGCACTGACCTCCTCCTGATGAAGACCATGGAGCACTGACCTCCCACCTGATGAAGACCATGGAGCACTGACCTCCCACCTGATGAAGACCATGGAGCACTGACCTCCCACCTGATGAAGACCATGGAGCACTGACCTCCTCCTGATGAAGACCATGGAGCACTGACCTCCCACCTGATGAAGACCATGGAGCACTGACCTCCTGATGAAGACCATGGAGCACTGACCTCCCACCTGATGAAGACCATGGAGCATTGACCTCCTCCTGATGAAGACCATGGAGCACTGACCTCCCACCTGATGAAGACCATGGAGCACTGACCTCCCACCTGATGAAGACCATGGAGCACTGACCTCCCACCTGATGAAGACCATGGAGCACTGACCTCCCACCTGATGAAGACCATGGAGCACTGACCTCCCACCTGATGAAGACCATGGAGCACTGACCTCCCACCTGATGAAGACCATGGAGCACTGACCTCCCACCTGACTACAGACCAGTCGCACTGACCTCCCACCTGATGAAGACCATGGAGCGGCTCATCCTCACCCATCTCCGCTCCGTGGTCAGCCCCACCCTGGACCCGCTGCAGTTCGCCTACAGACCCAACATCGGAGTAGAGGACGCCGTCATCTACTTCCTGCAGCGGACGCTCTCCCACCTGGAGCCTGCAGGGGGCGCTGTGAGGGTCATGTTTTTGACTTCTCCAGCGCTTTCAACACTATCAGGCCGGCACTGCTGCGGGGGAAGATGGAGGACCAGGAGTGGACAGTAGCCTCACTGCATGGACCATCAACTACCTCACTGCATGGACCATCAACTACCTCACTGCATGGACCATCAACTACCTCACTGCATGGACCATCAACTACCTCACTGCATGGACCATCAACTACCTCACTGCATGGACCATCAACTACCTCACTGCATGGACCATCAACTACCTCACTGCATGGACCATCAACTACCTCACTGCATGGACCATCAACTACCTCACTGCATGGACCATCAACTACCTCTCAGAGCGACCACAGTACGTGCGGCTGCGCAGCTGTGAGTCTGAGGTGGTCGTCTGCAGCACTGGGGCCCCTCAGGGCACTGTCCTCTCACCGTTTCTCTTCACCATCTACACCTCAGACTTCACACACGACACACACAGCTGTCACCTGCAGAAGTTCTCCGACGACTCCGCCATCGTGGGCTGTGTGTCTGAGGGGAACCAACTGGAATATCGGTCGGTTATCAAGGACTTTGTCGACTGGTGTGAGCGCAACCACTTGTGCTTGAACACCAGTAAGACCAAGGAGATGGTCATCGACTTCAGGAGAAAACCACTTTCCCACACGCTGCTTAACATCCAGGGGGAGGACATTGAGCTGGTGGACAGCTTCAAGTACCTGGGTGTTCACATTAACAATAAACTGGACTGGTCCATAATACAAACGCCCTGCACAAGAAGGGCCAAAGTCGCCTCTTCCTTCTGAGGAGGCTGAGGTCCTTCTGAGGAGGCTGAGGTCCTTCTGAGGGGGCTGAGGTCCTTCTGAGGAGGCTGAGGTCCTTCTGAGGAGGCTGAGGTCCTTCTGAGGAGGCTGAGGTCCTTCTGAGGAGGCTGAGGTCCTTCTGAGGAGGCTGAGGTCCTTCTGAGGAGGCTGAGGTCCTTCTGAGGAGGCTGAGGTCCTTCTGAGGAGGCTGAGGTCCTTCTGAGGAGGCTGAGGTCCTTCTGAGGAGGCTGAGGTCCTTCAGAGGAGGCTGAGGTCCTTCTGAGGAGGCTGAGGTCCTTCTGAGGAGGCTGAGGTCCTTCTGAGGAGGCTGAGGTCCTTCTGAGGAGGCTCAGGACCTTCTGAGGAGGCTGAGGTCCTTCTGAGGAGGCTGAGGTCCTTCTGAGGAGGCTGAGGTCCTTCTGAGGAGGCTGAGGTCCTTCTGAGGAGGCTGAGGTCCTTCGGAGGAGGCTGAGGTCCTTCTGAGGGGGCTGAGGTCCTTCTGAGGAGGCTGAGGTCCTTCTGAGGAGGCTGAGGTCCTTCTGAGGAGGCTGAGGACCTTCTGAGGGGGCTGAGGTCCTTCTGAGGAGGCTGAGGACCTTCTGAGGGGGCTGAGGACCTTCTGAGGGGGCTGAGGTCCTTCTGAGGAGGCTGAGGTCCTTCTGAGGAGGCTGAGGTCCTTCTGAGGAGGCTGAGGACCTTCTGAGGAGGTTGAGGTCCTTCTGAGGAGGCTGAGCTCCTTCTGAGGAGGCTGAGGACCTTCTGAGGAGGCTGAGGTCCTTCGGAGGAGGCTGAGGTCCTTCTGAGGGGGCTGAGGTCCTTCTGAGGAGGCTGAGGTCCTTCTGAGGAGGCTGAGGTCCTTCGGAGGAGGCTGAGGTCCTTCTGAGGAGGCTGAGGTCCTTCTGAGGAGGCTGAGGTCCTTCTGAGGAGGCTGAGGTCCTTCTGAGGAGGCTGAGGTCCTTCTGAGGAGGCTGAGGTCCTTCTGAGGAGGCTGAGGTCCTTCTGAGGAGGCTGAGGTCCTTCTGAGGAGGCTGAGGTCCTTCTGAGGAGGCTGAGGTCCTTCGGAGTGAGCAGGCCTCTGCTCAGGACTTTTTATGACTCTGTGGTAGCTTCTGCCATTTACTACGCTGCCGTGTGCTGGGCCCCGGGCAGCACAGAGCGGGACAGAAACAGACTGAACAAGCTGGTCAGGAGGAGGTGAGGGACAGGAGGCCCCTGGACTCTGTGGAGGAGGTGAGGGACAGGAGGCCCCTGGACTCTGTGGAGGAGGTGAGGGACAGGAGGCCCCTGGACTCTGTGGAGGAGGTGAGGGACAGGAGGCCTCTGGGACTCTGTGGAGGAGGTGAGGGACAGGAGGCCCCTGGACTCTGTGGAGGAGGTGAGGGACAGGAGGCCCCTGGACTCTGTGGAGGAGGTGAGGGACAGGAGGCCCCTGGACTCTGTGGAGGAGGTGAGGGACAGGAGGCCCCTGGACTCTGTGGAGGAGGTGAGGGACAGGAGGCCCCTGGACTCTGTGGAGGAGGTGAGGGACAGGAGGCCCCTGGACTCTGTGGAGGAGGTGAGGGACAGGAGGCCCCTGGACTCTGTGGAGGAGGTGAGGGACAGGAGGCCCCTGGACTCTGTGGAGGAGGTGAGGGACAGGAGGCCCCTGGACTCTGTGGAGGAGGTGAGGGACAGGAGGCCCCTGGACTCTGTGGAGGAGGTGAGGGACAGGAGGCCCCTGGACTCTGTGGAGGAGGCGAGGGACAGGAGGCCCCTGGACTCTGTGGAGGAGGTGAGGGACAGGAGGCCCCTGGACTCTGTGGAGGAGGTGAGGGACAGGAGGCCCCTGGACTCTGTGGAGGAGGTGAGGGACAGGAGGCCCCTGGACTCTGTGGAGGAGGCGAGGGACAGGAGGCCCCTGGACTCTGTGGAGGAGGTGAGGGACAGGAGGCCCCTGGACTCTGTGGAGGAGGTGAGGGACAGGAGGCCCCTGGACTCTGTGGAGGAGGTGAGGGACAGGAGGCCCCTGGACTCTGTGGAGGAGGTGAGGGACAGGAGCGCTACCGCAGGGCCTTTATCCCCACCACTGTCAGACTGTACAATAAGTCACTTTAAATGATCACTGTGTGAAAACCTGCACTACTATTGACACTGTTTCCAACTGACACTTGTCACTTTTGTTGTACATATATATCCTGCATGTAACATGTTTATTGTACATATATATCCTGCATGTAACATGTTTATTGTACATATATATCCTGCATGTAACATGTTTATTGTACATATATATCCTGCATGTAACATGTTTATTGTACATATATCCTGCATGTAACATGTTTATTGTACATATATCCTGCATGTAACATGTTTATTGTACATATATCCTGCATGTAACATGTTTATTGTACATATATCCTGCATGTAACATGTTTATTGTACATATATATCCTGCATGTAACATGTTTATTGTACATATATATCCTGCATGTAACATGTTTATTGTACATATATATCCTGCATGTAACATGTTTATTGTACATATATCCTGCATGTAACATGTTTATTGTACATATATATCCTGCATGTAACATGTTTATTGTACATATATATCCTGCATGTAACATGTTTATTGTACATATATATCCTGCATGTAACATGTTTATTGTACATATATCCTGCATGTAACATGTTTATTGTACATATATCCTGCATGTAACATGTTTATTGTACATATATCCTGCATGTAACATGTTTATTGTACATATATCCTGCATGTAACATGTTTATTGTACATATATCCTGCATGTAACATGTTTATTGTACATATATATCCTGCATGTAACATGTTTATTGTACATATATATCCTGCATGTAACATGTTTATTGTACATATATATCCTGCATGTAACATGTTGCACATTTCCTCCTTTTGCACAATCTGAGTGTTCTATCCATGACAAATGTGACATGTACATTTATCCTCTGTGAGATAAATAAAGCACATCTTATTATTATTGTTATTATTATTGTTATTATTATTGTTATTATTATTGTTATTATTATTGTTATTATTATTGTTATTATTATTGTTATTATTATTGTTATTATTATAAGATGCTAATTTCCACCTATAGTCCCTGGGCTGGTGTTACACATACATCTATGGTACTTCATATACCATAGAGCAGTACCATAGAGCAGTACCATAGAGCAGTACCATAGAGCAGTACCATAGAGCAGTACCATAGAGCAGTACCATAGAGCAGTACCATAGAGCAGTACCATAGAGCAGTATTATAGAGCAGTACCATAGGGCAGCACCATAGAGCAGTACCATAGAGCAGTACCATAGAGCAGTACTATAGAGCAGTATTATAGAGCAGTACCATAGGGCAGCACCATAGAGCAGCACCATAGGCCAGCACCATAGAGCAGTACCATAGAGCAGTACTATAGAGCAGTACCATAGAGCAGCACCATAGATCAGTACTATAGATCAGTACTATAGAGCAGCACCATAGATCAGTACCATAGAGCAGCACCATAGAGCAGTACTATAGAGCAGTACCATAGAGCAGTACCATAGATCAGTACCATAGAGCAGTACCATAGAGCAGCACCATAGGCCAGCACCATAGAGCAGTACCATAGAGCAGTACTATAGAGCAGTACCATAGAGCAGTACTATAGAGCAGCACCATAGATCAGTACTATAGATCAGTACTATAGAGCAGCACCATAGATCAGTACCATAGAGCAGCACCATAGAGCAGTACTATAGAGCAGTACCATAGAGCAGTACCATAGATTAGTACCATAGAGCAGTACCATAGAGCAGTACCATAGAGCAGCACCATAGGCCAGCACCATAGAGCAGTACCATAGAGCAGTACCATAGAGCAGTACCATAGAGCAGTACCATAGAGCAGTACCATAGAGCAGTACCATAGAGCAGTACCATAGAGCAGCACCATAGAGCAGCACCATAGAGCAGTACCATAGAGCAGTACCATAGAGCAGCACCATAGAGCAGTACCATAGAGCAGTACCATAGAGCAGCACCATAGAGCAGCACCATAGAGCAGTACCATAGAGCAGTACCATAGAGCAGCACCATAGAGCAGCACCATAGAGCCGGGACCCCCCTCAGTGTCAGAGTCTTCCTTGGCGCAGCGTTGATGACATCACAGTGACAGAGCGTGTTATTATTGCTCTTCATCTACGTTTCTGAGGAAGTCACGTGTCTGAGCCTCACACCCTCTCTTCACCCCCTCCTCACCCTCTCCTCACCCCCTCCTCACCCCCTCCTCACCCTCTCCTCACCCCCTCCTCACCCTCTCCTCACCCCCTCCTCACCCCCTCCTCACCCCCTCCTCACCCTCTCCTCACCCTCTCCTCACCCTCTCCTCACCCTCTCCTCACCCCCTCCTCACCCTCTCCTCACCCCCTCCTCACCCTCTCCTCACCCCCTCCTCACCCTCTCCTCACCCTCTCCTCACCCTCTCTTCACCCCCTCCTCACCCTCTCTTCACCCTCTCCTCACCCCCTCCTCACCCTCTCCTCACCCTCTCCTCACCCTCTCCTCACCCTCTCCTCACCCCCTCCTCACCCTCTCCTCACCCTCTCCTCACCCCCTCCTCACCCTCTCCTCACCCCCTCCTCACCCTCTCCTCACCCCCTCCTCACCCTCTCCTCACCCCCTCCTCACCCTCTCCTCACCCCCTCCTCACCCTCTCCTCACCCCCTCCTCACCCTCTCCTCACCCCCTCCTCACCCTCTCCTCACCCCCTCCTCACCCCCCGCTGCTCACGGTCTGATGGGGGACACCGCAGTACACCCAAAAACCTCTGACGTCTCATTCAACACGACCCTGGATCCAAAACAAACTGCAGCAGACACCAGCAGCAGACACCAGCAGCAGACACCAGCTATATCTCTCTGGTCTGTCTCTGGTCAGACACCAGCAGACAGACACCAGCAGCAGACACCAGCAGACAGACACCAGCAGCAGACACCAGCAGCAGACACCAGCAGCAGACACCAGCAGACAGACACCAGCAGCAGACACCAGCAGACAGACACCAGCAGCAGACACCAGCAGCAGACACCAGCAGACAGACACCAGCAGCAGACACCAGCAGACAGACACCAGCAGCAGACACCAGCAGACAGACAAACTTGGTCGATACGGAACGACGCGGTCAAGCCACAGAGAAAGTGGATTCATGAAGGATTTCCCGCATCGTACTTAC